TGGTGCTTGAAGACATGGTATAGATGGACTTGGCAGTGACAGGTTGACGGTTGGACTTGATGATCTTAAAGGTCTTTTCCAACCTTGATGTTTCTATGATTCTATGTCTGCTCCCTGCTATTTCATCTCCATAGAAGCAGGAAAAAAGCAGTGGCCTGGGGAAAAAACCTCTCCAAAAGCAAGCAATGAAAATATTCTGTGTGAGAAAAAGACTGGGGGAGGCACAGGAGGTGCATGGGGCTGGGAGGACCGGGCAAGTTCAGCGCTCTCTGTTTTGTGGTTTAGGGCAGGTCAGTGTTTGGTTATGTGAAAATGGGGGAATTCAATGCGAAGGGAAGGCAGTTTCTACTGCAGGTGGAAATCCTTGCTGGGGGATTCAGTGGGCCAAGGAACACTAATAATGGAATAACGTGGCATAATTGCAATTTGGTGGGCAGCTCTCATGGGCGAGCTGGTTTGTAGATGGAGCAAAGGGAAAATGGGTGCTGCTCCCAGGAGGAACACAGTGGGATCCACGATTTCTCATTGCAAGTGAGATCCTGAAAACTCCCTCCACATCTCAACAGGGCTGGAAACTTTCCGCAGTCCCAAGGTAGCAACTTTTCCACTTTTATTTTGCAGTTCTTTGATCGCTTGAAGCTGTTTTGGATGCCAGCGAAACACCAGCCGGATTTCATCTACCTGCGGCACGTCCCCTTGCGAAAGGTGCATTTCTTCACCATGATCCAGCTGATCTGCCTCATCCTGCTCTGGGGCATCAAGGTGTCCCGTGCTGCCATCATCTTTCCCATGATGGTAAGAGTGGGTGCTGCCCGGCAGCGGGAGGTTTCCAGCGTTGGAGCGAGATGTAGCGTCATCTCCGGCCTCACCGCATCTTCCCTCTTATTCCTGAAGGTTTTGGCTCTTGTTTTTGTCCGGAAAGTGATGGATTTCTGCTTCTCAAAGCGAGAGCTCAGCTTTCTGGATGACCTTATGCCAGAAAGCAAGAAGAAGAAGTTGGACGATGCCAAAAATGAAGCCAAAGAAGAAGAGGTAACGCTCGCTGGGTGCTTGGGGCTGGACACCTCCCTTGGGCTGTGATTGCCTGTTTCCATCACAGCTTGTCTTTAAATGTTAGGGAAAG